ATTGGAGTTCATCCCACAATAGGTGAACCCTGGACCATGTTCATGCTCCCTTGGCCGAGCTCAGGACCGGCAATGATCACTCCAGGACCAGGCTTCAGGTAGAGACAGGCCTCACAGTCTTCTCCTGAGCCACTTGGTCAGCCACGTGTGATATTGGCGAGGCCCTGGTTCTGACCCCTGCTCTGCACCAGCCCAGGCAGGACAAGCCTAGTGAAAGAAGTAGGAGGAAGACTTATTCTAATTTAGAGACTTTTAATTTAGTGGGTGAGAATATTGATTCTGGAGCTGGGCCACACCTACTCAACCAATTCTGAACTCATTATGATCTTGAATAGGTTCTTTAACTTCTCTGTGCTTTAGTTGTCTCATCTATAAACTGGGATGAGTGAATACACTTATTGAGTATTAGAAGGATTACACTAATTGAGATAAAATGCTTAAAAACCATATTGTATTTAGTAAGCATCCTATGAACTGTTTGCTATTATTATTGTTATTATTACCATAATGGTCAATGGAACAGACAGCTCTAAAGTAGAGTGTTTCTTTTTTGTTGTTGTTGTTGCTATTTTTGGTACTAGAGGTTGAACCCAGGGGCACTTAACCACTGAGCTACAACCCAAGTTCTTTTTTAGTTTTTATTTTGAGACAGGGTCTCCCTAAATTGCTGAGGGCCTCGCTAAGTTTCTGGGGCTGGCTTTGAACTTGTGATTCTCCTTTGCAGCCTCTCGAGTCTCTGGGATTACAGTTGCACACCACCATGCCCTGTTTAAAGTGGAGTATTTCCTGTCACTGCAGGGACAAGGTGGTTGCAAGATTCAGCTTTGAACCTTGAGTTTTCAGTGTTAGAGAGATATACAACTAGGCTTATTCAACATTACTCTGTGCATTTATTTAATGCCACAAACATTTACTGAGCAGCTAGTGTGTGCCAAATTCTATGCTAGACCTTGGAGACAGTGGGATGAATCAGGTTGTCCCAGCTTTCAGGACATGATAATCAAGCAAGGACAGCAGGCAGGAATCACCTCTGGTGAGCTAAGTGCCATAACTTCAGCATATAGGAGGTGCAGAGACAGCCAGAGGAGGGACAGGGCAGGCTTCCTGGGAAAGGCAGTGTGAAGTAAGGTCCTCGGGGCCCTCTACAGGATAAGGGTGTGCAGAGTGGGGAGGATCTGCCTTGTTGGTCTATGAGTGAGGAAGGATTCTGGGTTCCAGAATGGAGAATCAGTTTTCCTTGGCCCTGTCCTTAGTTGGATCATTTGGACCATTCCTGTCCTTACTGGTTTTGAAAAGATGAGCCTTGTCAGTCTTTGAGGTTTCTCCGTCTCTCTGTACATTATGATATTTTTGCCTTGATCCTTTTATTTTTTGGGTGTAGGATGTTGGGGATTAAGTTTGTTGGTTGACCACAGCAAAAAGCAACCACGTTTCCTGCATTACAAGTTTGATGGCCTAAATCATCAAACTAATTTCTGTTGCTGTGTCCTTGAACAAGAAGAACCCCCCCACAAAACTTGGTGTGTTCCTCCCTAAACATGTTCCTCTATTGTGAATGGATGCCAGTGATGTTCAAAGTGACCACATTAAGGAGTAAAGCCCCAGGGAATTGGGAGGGGGGTGGATAATAATAAAACAGAAAGCCACACACGTACCATTTTCTAGATAATAAAGACAAGCGTGCACACACCCTGTCATCTCAGGCATGAATAGCCCGTCATGCACTTAGAAGGCCCTGTCAGGAAACCCTGCCAAGTTTCTCGTTCCCCTTCCTGGATCCCATTCTCGCCTGCCTGCTCTCTTTTAGGCTTGAGTTAGGGCTTTTCCATTCTTCCTGTTCTTTGTTAAGAAACTTCTTTTTGCCAGGAGCCCAGATCTGGGAGACTAAAGAGGTACAGAGCAGGAAGATAGCTGCAGTCACAGGTTTTCCCCCAGACTGTGACTGGGGAGAGGCATGAACACATCCACTGGTTTATTTTCCTTGTGTGCCCCCACCAAAATGACTCATGCTGCTTTGCTTTGGGCAAGCCTTCCAGCCTCTGTCACCCTGTGAGATGTACAAATCGGGGCACGCACTCTTCCTTTCTTTAAAGAAGGAGTCTCATTTTCGCTTGGTTGTGCTAACAATTTGGACCCAGTTACACGAAACTCTCTAACAAAGGTCCCCGCACCAAAGAAGAGGGAGTTACCAACCAAAGAAGATCAGCAGGTTGCCAAGAATTACAAAATGCCTGGGACTGGGCAGGGTCCGAGTTGTGCTCAGGAGTCCTCCCGTATTCAAGATGGGAGGCTTTGCTAGGGAGAAAGCTCAGAGGACTGACTATTCTTAAAAGGTCACCTTGGAGGGAAGCTGTTACCTTGGCCTCCAGAAATATTCCCCAGCCTCAGAGACTGAGAGCTGTGTACTGTCTCTACAGGTCACCTCAGGTGCCTGCACTCAAGGTTTGCTGCCCATCAGAATTACCTAGGTTCAGGGGAGTGGGGCTTTGCAAAATCCTTCTGCCCAGATCCCCACTCTGACCTGTGACATTAGCGCCTCTGGGCATGGGGCCTGAACATCAGTGTTTTTAAAACTCCCCAGGTACTATCAATGTTCAGCCAAGTTGGAGAACTTCTGATTTGGACTCTTAGTATTCAAAGTGTCTTCTGTAGAACTTTCTAGAAAGACACATTCTCAGGTCTCACCATAGACCTACAGAACCAGAATCTATTTTAACAAGATCACAGGTAACAAGTATATGCATTAAACTTTGAGAAGCAGCTTAAAAAAACAACAACCTGGCAACAATGGGCCCAGATTCTCTCTCTGCAACTACCAGGTGGAGCTGTATAATAGCAACCTGCTTTGAGAGGGAACTTCACACTCCAGTTTGCCCAAATTTCTGACCTGGCAGGTTCATTAACTTCTGTTATCTACCTTGCTCCACTTAGAATTTGGATTTTTGTTATTGTTGTGGTAAAATGTACAGAAAATAAAACTTACTGTTAGTGACATGTAATACATTCATAATTTGTGCAACTGTCACCATGATCTACTTTTAAAACACGTTCATAATCTCAAAAGGAAACACCATACTTTTTATGTGGTGACTTCCATTTCTCCCTCCCACAAAGCCCTGGCAACCACTAATCTACTTTCTGTCATAATGGGTTTGCTTAGTCTGAATGTTTCATATAAATGAAATTATACAATATGTGGCCTTTGGTGAATGGCTTCTTTCACTTAGCATAATGTTTTCAATGGTTCATCATGTTGTAGCAAGCATCAGCACTTCATTCCTTTTCATGGCTGAATAATATTCCATCGTATGGATATACTACATTTTGTTTACCCATCCATCAGTTGATGGGCATTTAGGTAGTTTCCACTTTGGAGTTATTGTAAATGGTGCTGTTTCGAACATTTGCATGGAAGTTTTGTTTCAACACCTGTTTCTAATTCTTTTGGGTATATATCCAAGAGTGGAATTGCTGACTCATAAGGTAATCCTAGATTTAAAAATTTTGAGGAACAAAGAGTTTCCCACAATGACTCCATCATTTTACATTCCCATGAACAATGTAGGAAGGTTGTAATTTCTCTAAATCCTCAACACTTATTGTTTTCCATTTTTTCCTTTTTAATTTCTAGTCATACTAAAAGTAGTATCTCCTGTGCAATTGATTTGATTTTCCCTAATGGATAATGACGAATATCTTTTCATGTGCTTCTTGGCCATCTGTATATCCATTTTGGAAGAATGTCTACTTTTTTGTTTTGAATTAATTGTCTTTTTATTGTTGAGTTGAAATAGCTCTTATATATTCTGGATTACCAGACCCTTATCAGGTATCTAATTTGCAAATATTTCCCCCCATTCTGTGGGGTTAACATTGATAGTGTTCTTTGATGTAAAAAAGTTTTTAATTTTGATGAAGTTCAATTTTTTCTTTGTTGTGTTTTTGTTGTCACAGAATTTTAGATTTTTTTTTAACCTGGACAAGGTCAGTAGATGGGAATTAAAAGGGATCTGAGGGGAAAGGGAATGAGGATGACTTGAGATTTTTATCTCCAGTTCAGTCAGAAGATCTACATGTCTACATGTATTTTTACAAGGTTCTTCAGCTATATACATATACATCTGTATGTAATAATATACATGGCAGTTGATCACAACAGTTGGACTTCTCAAACTCTAACCCTTGGGTGTCAGTTGAAAAATCTTAGTGTGTCAGATTGGTCTCTCTAAAAACTAGTCTTAAATGATGTATGCAGTGATTAGAACATAATCTTTTCTGGTTTTAACTAAATTTTATGTCAAAAGAAAAAAAGCAAAATTCTTGAAAAAGCATGCTGTGGTTTTTTTTGTTCCACTTACCACACTTTGGGAAAGTCAGTATATTTGGCCCCAGTCCAAACCTACTGTCTATCTGGTCATCCAGCTCATCCACACAGAGGAAAAAAATCATAGAAAAAATAGCCTACCTCCTGCGTACCAGCCTTGGTACCAGGTACTGCATTTGCTGATGTCACACAACAAGTGAAAACCTGAATCATGTCTTCTCATTTCAGACATAAAGCCATGGGTCCAACATACAGTTCGATCACTCACCCACCGGTCTCTGTGAGTGGTTCCATTACTATCAACCGCTATCACTGTTTGAAGCTTTCCTTGTCCCAGCCATTGTGCTGCCATCTAATTTTCCCCACGACCCTGGAAATGGTTCCATAATCATTAACCACAGGTTGTGTCAGTGCTGGGACTTAACCTTTTGGGTGTGCGTGCAAAGCCCACATTCTGAATCTCCAGGCGAAACTCCGACTTTAAGGACGCCCACTTCCTGCCTAGCAGGTACCGGTGGGCAGGTACGTAGTCCCGACTTCCGCGCATGCTCAGACCCCACCCACTGCCCCGCCCTTCAGCCCCGCCCCCTCAACTGCGCAGGCGCACTCCTTCCTGGGGCACCCTCAGTCAAGGGACATGGAAGCGGTGCTGGCGTCGCAGCCGACCGTGGGCACGCCTCCGTACGCAATGCGCAAGCGCGGGGCCGGGCCGCTTTCCTCCGAGCTGGACCGAGATGGCGGCAGCGGAGAGTGTTTCGCTGGAGCTGGCGGCTTCGGAGCAGCCGGGGGAGCTGCCTGCCTCGGTGCGGGCGAGCATCGAGCGGAAGCGGCAGCGGGCGCTGATGCTGCGTCAGGCCCGGCTGGCAGCCCGGCCCTACCCGGCGACGGCGGCTGCGGCCACTGGAGGTTCGGGCCCTGGCGGCGCCTTCCCCTTCCTCCTGCTCCTCTCCGCTTACCTTTCTCGGTCTCCCTGGTCCCCAGACGGGCTCGCGCGGCCGGGTCGCGGGTGCGTGTCCACTCCGCTCACGCCTGCGCGCAGATCCTCCTGCAGTCCCGGCAGGAATCCGCCCTGTGGAATCGCCTGCCCTTCCACAGAGCGATTCCGCGGTCCTGGGCTTTCTCCCTGCGCCTTGGCTGCCCAGCTTCCATCTTTCCTTCGCGGATGCCACCCCCGCTGGGAGGTGCCATCCAGTACCTGTCTATGCCTCAGTTGTCCTCTGCCTGCTGCGCTTTCACCAGCCACAGGGTGGCCCTGGCATAAAGTTTTTAGAGCTGTAACCCTTTTTAATAATAAGCCTGCACCTGTACCTTGTTCATGCATCCAACCAAAAGCGACTGAGTGACCCTCATTTTCATGGAGTTCCAAGACAGCAAACAGCTGAGCCACTGCCTTCATGGGGCTAACAGAGTAACACCTGCAGTGCTGCACACTTGTCAGATTGCCTAGTTGGAGCCTCACAGCCGTCCTGGAAAAGAAAAATGGCAGGGTTTGGTATGCGTATTTTACTGAAGCGATGATTGAGATCAGGAAAGGAAAGGGATTTACTCAGATTCAAGTGCACAGGCTTATCAGAGTAGAACTTAGGTCTTGTGACACTGAATTTAGGGCTTTTCTTTGCCCACCAGTTACCTCTACTCTATTAGTCATCTTTCTTATCTCTAGGAAGAAAGATTGTTACTTTTGTGGGAGCTGGGTTTCATCTGTCCCCTTTCTTACAGCAGCCCCTGGCCGCCCTTCATGCTTTTTATCTATCAGTCATATTTCTAGGTGCTGATGTTGCTCTTGGAAGTAATTAAATCAAATTATTTCTACAAAATCCCTCAAATCTTTTCCGTCCATGTTTTATACCATATTTTATTTGATTACTGCAGTAATCTCCTAGTTCCCCCCATCTTTGAATGTCATCTGTCTAATCTATAAATCTTTTTCTTTCATATTTAAAGCCTTGCCAAAGTTTTCTGTTGCCCCACGACAAACCCTAAGTTCTTTATCATCACCTGACTCCTGTGTATTTCCCCAGTCTTCTTTTTTTCACCCTGTCAGTAGTGTAGCTCCTTACCTTTCCAGCACACATGTTTTGTCTCCTGTTGCTTGTGCCTGGAACCCTCGGCTCATGTGATTTCTTCTTTTTTTTTTTTAATATATTTATTTTTTAGTTTTAGATGGACACAGTATCTTCATTTTATTTTTATGTGGTGCTGAGGATCGAACCCAGTGCCTCACGCATGACAGGCAAGCGCGCTGCCATTTGAGCTACCTCCCGAGTCCCCATATGATTTCTTCATCACTGTAGTTGAAGCCTCTTGAAAGCAGATACTTGGTCTTGGGTTTGGTACTTTCTGTCCCAATCCCCTAACACAAGCATGATACTAATTGATGCTTAGGTCTTTCTTGACTGGGTGAAATGTGGGAATGCCTTGTGTCTGTTACATTTCCTCCTTCCACAACAAAGTGGTCCTTGCAATGACGCCTATTAAATAATAACCCTTATGTTTTACAGGAGTGTATAATTTAAAAATGTTTTTAGAGTTACTGTTGAATTAGCTGTTGTTACTGACCAGAAACTCTCCTCCTTGACTGTGTGCAGATGGAGAATCTGCTTGTAACTAAAGCAGGTTAGAGAAGTTTTCCAAGCCATTTGAAAAATCCCTATATTTGTGTAACACTTTGTAATGTGTTTTTACATTAAAAACTTTTCATAATTGCAGACCTTGAGAGTTATGTATACCCACAGTTGTTCTCGCATTTTCCAGATGGGCACATAGACATTGGCAGATAAGTACCTTGAACGTATATCCCTTCCAATTCCTGGTAATTTCTGAACTTGTACAGGTTCTCTCCAACTTTCAACAGCCTGACAGAGTGTGTAAAGAAAGTAAGGAATTCCAATTCTAAGTAGGTCCAGATCATAAAAGAAACTAGAAAATAATATAAAGAAGGCAAGGTTGGCTATCGCAGTGTTGGGTAGGTCCAACTGGTAAGGCCTTGGCACTCTTGGAAGCAAATGAGTCTGTATATCCTGTTTGAATACCCCACCCTCATTTTGCTCAGTTTTCTGTTGCCCCACGACAAACCCTCAGTTCTAGAAAGGTTTTTGCACTTGAGAGAAATTGTACTTGAGAATTTTAACTCTTCATTATTATGTGTTTTGCAATTTTCCACATCAGTTTGCTTGCTGTTACAGTGAATCACTTCTTTTCAAGCTTCTCCTACCTCTTGAAACCCTAAAGGTGGTTCTTAAATAGACATTTCCCCAATTAGGTTTATCCTGTTTGCTCACTGTTAGTTTTGGTTAAAATAATCCTCTTAAAGTTATTTTGACAGTGTCTAGTAAAGTTAGAAGACTTTTAGTAAATATGGTATTATTATTACTGTCACTTTTTTTATATGCTGTCAAAGATGCTGCCCGTCTGTCTTTGTGAGTCTCTTGTGCAGAAACAGGTTAACAGAGCAGGCCCGAGATATACATCTGTCCTTAGAAAGACCTTGTGAAGGTTAGATTATGGTGTGTTCCCACTGTTCTCTAACTGGTGGCTTAGTGTGACAAATTATTTGCAGAATAATTTTTTCTTAAATATTTGCCTCAACCTCTTAGAGTCTAGGATTTGGGGTACTGGGAGTGCAGCTTCACAAGGAAGGAAGCTCCTGTGCTCACTCAGGACTCTTCACACCTCACCCTTGGCCTAGTGTAACTTTTTATCTGGTTGTTTGTTTGTATTCTTTAAAATATGTTTTGTTATAAATGGGTAAATCTGAGCGTGGTGGTTCATGCCTTTAATCCATGAAGGCTGATGCAAGAGGTTCCCAAGCTCAGGGTCAGCTGGGTGACCTAGCCAAATCCTGTCTCTAAATACATACACACATAGGTAAACATAATCAGAGTGATTTTTTTTCCTCTGTGAGTTGCTGTAGCAAATTAATTTTAATCCAAGGAAAGGGTTGTAGAAATCCTGATATATAACCAGTTGGTCAGAAGCACTTGGAGCTTGCATTTGGTATCTGAAGAGAGAAAATCTTGGAGACTGAGCCCTCATCTTGTGGGATTTGACTCCAGATAGATAGTGTCAGAATTGAGTTGAGTTCTAGGATTCCCAGTTGGTTTTCAACAGAGAATTCCTGGGTGGGTGTGGAAACCACCCATCTTATATCAGAAGTGTTGTGTTGTGGTGTTTATCCCACTTCTAGTAGAAACTAAACCTCAGATGCGCCTCACATCTCTCTGAGCTCTGGTGGATTTGTTGTAGGCAATGAGTGATCCTGGGCTTTCCTTCTCTAAAAAGCAATTGAGTTATGTTAGATGCTTTCCAAAGTCCCATTTAAGTCTCTAAGAGTCAGTTTTACATCACTGATAAAAGTTCATTTGCACTGGTTAATTCATATCCATGATTTCTAAAGGTTTCTACATGGCTGTGAAACCAGGTATAAGTAGAGAGCAAAAACTGATATTAAACTTCTGATCATGGAAAGCAAGGTAGAATGAAATCATATGAAGATTTCTCAGGCAGTTACCCCAGAGCTGACTTGTGTCATAGCAGCGGATGCAACCCATCGTGCCTCCAGAGTATGCAGGTGCTGAGACTTTTATCTTTGCTGTAATTTTATTTCAATGTATAAAACAATTTTTATTTTCTGTGACATGCTCTGAAAAAGATTGAGGAGCGCTTGCTTAGACTGTGGTGCTAAAGTGGTGCTCGGAGTCTTGGGAAGGTGCAAGGGTAGCAGCAGAGGGAGACTGGTCTTCATTTGGGGCATGAATTCAGCCTTGTGTAGAATCCTGCTGAAGTCAGGACATCAACTACTCCAACTCCCCTTATTTTTAAATTTTTTTTGGTACTGGGTATTGAAGCTGGGGTACTTAACCACTGAGTCACATCCCCAGTCTGCTTTGTCCTTTTTATGTTTTATTTTGAGACAGGGTCTCTGTATGTTGCTTAGGGTCTCACTAAGTTGCTGAGGCTGGCTTTGAACTTGTGATCCTCCTGCCTTAGGCTCCTGAGTTACTGGAATTATAGGCATGTGCCACCATGCTCAGCTCCAGTTTCCTCTCTTGATTCACATTGCCCTTGTGGTCATTCAATTCACTTGCTACAGTATTCATGAAATAAAAATAATACACTTAGGAACATTTATTCCTTGTGTGTTCATCCAGTGGATACTCATATGTTTACTGTTTGTCAGAATGACAGATATAAAGGCACTCAGTCTAATATGTTGTATAGTGAGAATTGCTATTAACAGTGGCAACAGGCTTATTATAATCTAAACTTTTCATTTAATAGAAGGAGAATTTGAGGCCAGACAAGGCAAGTGACTTAAGCATACATGTTAAATTTGACTTTTTTAAAAAATTGAGGTGTAGTGCATTAATATGTAAAATGCTGTCCTCCAAATTTTACCTGGATGTGTGCTCATGTAAACCCCATAATGATAAAGTTCAAGATGCTTCCAGAACCTTAGAATTTTCCCTGTTGTTCATTCCTAGTCAGTGTCAGACCCCTCCCTCTGAAGTAACTATTGTTTTGATGATTTGGTTGGCATTTTCTATTTTTGAACTTAATTTAAGTGGAATCATACAGTGGCTTCATTTGCTCAACATAACATCTGAGAGAGTCATTCATTTTGTTGCATTGTTAGTAGTTTGTTCATTTATATGTTGTATGACATTCTTTTGTATTATGCCACAGTTTTTCCATTTTTCCTTTTAATGGATTTTTTCCCCCATTTTGGGGCTATAAGGAATAAATCCTCTTGAGAACCTTCTTGTATTTGTCTTTTAGTGGACCTATGAACTAATTTCTATTATGCATATGCCTAGAGATGTAATTGCTGGGTTAAAGGAAGATATATATTCAGCTTTAGCAGATATTGCCAAATAGTGATTTTTATCAGTTTATAATCTCACCAGCAGTGATATGAGTATGACAGTCTAGCACTTCCACATCCTCACTATTTGGTATTGTCAGTCTTCATTTTAGACATTCTGCTGGGTATGTTGGCACACACCTGTAATCCCAGTGGCTTGGGAGACTGAGTCAGGAGGATTGCAAGTTCAAAGCCAGCCTCAGCAATTTAGTGATGCCCTAAGCAACTTAGAGAGACTCCGTCTCAAAATAAAAAATAAAAAGTTCTGGGGATATGGCTCAGTTGTTAAGCACCCCTGGGTTCAATCTCTGGTACCAAAAAAAAAAAAAAAAAGAAAGTGATCATTTTAGACATTCTAGAGATCTAGAGAGAGTGTAGTGATATTTCATTATGTTTTTTAAAATATTTATTTTTTTAGGTGTAGATGGACACAACACAATGCTTTTATTTTTATGTGGTGCTGAGGATCGAACCCGGGTCCCGCCCTTGCTAGGCACGTACTCTACCGCTGAGCCACAATCCCAGCCCCTAATTATGATTTTTTTTTTTTAAATATTTATTTATTTATTTTTTAGTTTTTGGCAGACACAACATATTTGTTTGTATGTGGTGCTGAGGATCGAACCCGGGCCGCACGCATGCCAGGCGAGCGCACTACCGCTTGAGCCACATCCCCAGCCCCCCTAATTATGATTTTAATTTACATTTTCCTGGTGGATAATGATGATGAAGACCTTTCCATTAGTGGCCGTTCCTTGTTTGTGATGTGTTTATTTAGGTCTTTTGCTTATTTTTTTAAGTTGTGGTATTTGTCTTCTGCTGATTTCTAGGATTTCATTATGTATTCTGGATGTGCAGCCTTTGTCAGTTAGACATACTGCATATCATATTTTTCATTTTGCTTTCTGTCACTCTCATAATGGTGTCATAATAAATGGAAGTTCTTAATTAATTGAGTCCAGTTTAACAGTTTTTCTCTTATGATTGGTCTTTTTGTGTTCTGTTTAAGAAGCTTTTAGCTACCTTGAGTTCATGAAGTTGTTCTTATAGGGGTTTTATTGTTTTACCTTTCGTATTTATTACTACAATTAATTTTAAAGTTCTTAAAATGTGTATTGTTTGAAATAGGGTCAAAGGTCATTCTTTGAAAGAGCATCTTTTCATGACTGTACTGCAGTGGCACCTTTGTCGTAAACCCCAGCACCATTTATTGAAAAGATTATCCTCTTCCCACTAAGAACCTTCGTCATAAATTAAATAACCAAGTTTGTATAGGTCTATTTCAGGTCTCTCTCTTCTGTTCCATTGCCCTATTTATCTTTGTGGCATTACCTTAGTGTCTTAATTAATGAAGGTGTAAAAATCCTCCAATTTTGTTTCTCAAGGTTCTCTTATCTACTTTAGGTTTTTTCTATTCACATATAACTGTTAGAGTCAGATTATCAGCCCCCTTGTACATATCCCACTGATGTACATATCCCACAGTGACCTGAGCACTGTGGCCCTGTAGATTAATGGGAGAATTGACATTTTTACAATATACCACGATCCATATGTGGTCTATTTCTCTATTTATTTAGGTTGTCTTTGATTTCTCTTAGTGTTTTGTAGTTTTCAGTTTAGAGGTTTTATACATTTCTTCTTAGATTATTGTTATTTCTTAATTCTAATTGATATTCTTGTGGGTTTTTTATATGTATAATCACATCATCTGCAAATAAGTACAGTTGTACGTCATTCTTTTCAACCTTTATGCCTTTTTGGTTTTCTTACCGTAGTACACTAGCTGGGACCTTCAGTACAGATTTGAATAGAAGTGGTGATATGAACATTTATGTATTGTTTGAGTATATTAAATTTAAAGAAAATTTCTGTTTATGTACAAGGAACATATGGTTTACCTAATTCAATTGATAACCACTTTTATTTCCTTTTTGTAGGTGTGGCTAATGTAAAAGCAGCCCCCAAAATAATTGACACAAAAGGAGGCTTTATTTTAGAAGAGGAAGAAGAAGAAGAACATAAAATTGGAAACATTGTTCATCAACCAGGTAAAGTATGAGTTTTGTAGAAAAAAAATCTAGATTAGTTATTTTGAGTAACGTGCATAATTCTTTGCATATTGATATCAAATAACACCACATTTGTTTTGATCAGTGAGCAGTTTATAAGAGTGATAATGTTTGGCATTTTTAAAAATCAAAGAAACATTTATATGTTGGAAATTATTCTTTAACTTGTGGTTTGAGTACATAGGGGTTGATATTCTTTATTGTTATATAATAGGCAGCTACAGGCAATATGTTGACAGATAAAATAAATACTCAAAATTATCTTGATAAGCTGGACACAGTGAAGTGCCTATAATCCCAGCTACTCAGGAGGCCGAGGCAGAAGGATTACTTGAGCACAAGACCAGTTCAAAAACCAGCCTGGACAATAAATACAGTGAGACCCAGTCTCAATAAAAAGTCTTGATAGGTTGAAATGTGGATCCAGAACACAGAGATAAATTTTAGGATATTCTTTTATGTATATTTGGAGAGAAAAAACAATTTACAAAGTAGAGGAAGATCTCAGAAAGATATAAATCTACTCCTAAAGTCAGTGCTTTGATATATCAGTTATATACACACATATTCTTAGGGTGAGAAATACTTTCAAACTCTGAAACAGATAAGAAATTTTATTGATCTCAATTTGATAGCTAATAGTGTAATATAGAGGCTTGAGAGAACTAGTCCATCTTCAGCTAAAGCAACAGAAATGTTTATTCACAAAGATAGACGGTAGTAACGCTGTCCTATTCCATGTGTGTCTAAATTGTTATTTTCAGGAGCTGAGGCTTAAAGGGTTAAAATGTTTATGTTTATTTTGGGTCTGTTATTTTAAGCAGGATATAGGCAAGTGCATAGTGTCTGAAGTAAGGTGACTGGAATGGAAATTTTTTTTTTTTTAATATTTTTATTAGTTGATGAAATGTTTTATTTTATCTATTTATTTGTATGTGGTGCTGAGAATCGAACCTTGTGCCTCACGCATGCTAGGCAACTGCTCTACTGCTGAGCCACAACCCCAGCCCTGGAATGGAAATCTTGAAATGGACATATGAGGAACATTTGTCAAAACTGGTTAGGTTTAACTTGGAGAATACTTCGTTCTTTTGCAATACTCTGGGGACACAGAGGTTACACTTACTGTGGGGTTTGTTTTTGGAAGACAGAACTTTAAACAGTGGCTGGACAATTATGGAGAAGGAGACTTCAGTTCAGTAAATTAAAGGTGCAGCTTAGGTGTAGTTAGCAGTTGGTGCTTACAGGGTGTTGGTATATGTATTGTGTGGGTTTCACAGTGACCTGAAATGGAGAAACATCCTAGCCATGTGGATTGCTGCCTCCTAATAGTGAAGCTTTAGAGGGATTCAGAGATTGAAAAATTTGACCAAGACCACAATATTGTAGAGAAGCAGTCCTGCCTTAGGAGGGAACACATTAAATTCAGGGACTTCATGATTTTGTGGATATGAACTCATTTTAACTGCTTTTATAGATTCCTGAGTCCACCGTGGGTTATAAAGCCTATGCTTTCTTTTAACAGGCTGTGAATATTTACTGAGAACCTACTACAGCGTCTTGTTGCTTGACTAGGATATTCATGTGGCATTAAGCATTGCTGTTATTCATGCACCGATATCATGCTGCTGGCACAAAGGACTCTGGTAGTGAATTAGTGCCAGTTAGAATGGTGTCCCTTTTGAGTGACAAATTAGAAAAAGCTCCCCTTTCCATGGACCACCATAGCCTGGTGCTGGGCTCATGGCTTAACAAGTGGTCATGAGTGGCATTTTGGCCCCATTTGCCCCTGTGGCCAGATGCTCATGCACAGGGACTGACCAACATGGGTAGAGGGAGATGAGCAGTTAATGTTCTACCATTTTTATTGTTGTTAATTTTGAAAGATAGTCTGTTTCTTTAGCATAGAGAAAAGTCAGCTTATTTCGGTCATGAAGTCTTGCTGCCTATAAAGCAAAGTTTGATACTTTTAGGATCTAGAAGAGTGGATCCTCAGAATCCTCAGAAAGGGTTTGTTAAAATGATTGTTGGGCCATCCCTAGAATTTCTTTTGAGTTAGTAGGTCTGAGGTTGGGCCTGAGAATCAGTTTCTATCCAGTTCTGAGGAGATGCTGCTGCTGACCCAGGGGCCACAACCTCAGTCTAGAAGATGAAATCCCCTTCGGGGAATGCACCCCACCACTATAGGGAGAACAGTGTATAGGTCATTCACTGTTCATGTTATCTTTTTTAAAAAGTATTTATTTTTAAACTTTGTGATAAAATATATATATGTAAGATAAAATTATACCATTTTAACCATTTTAAAAGTCTATACCTTCAGTGGCATTAACTCCATTCATGATGTTGTATGACCATTGTTACCATCCATCTCCAGAATTTTTTTATCATCCCCAAATGTAATTCTGTACCCATTAAACATTAACTCCCTATGCAGTCATTTTGATATATTTTCTTTGAGACTGTTTTTGATATGTGAATGAGAATGTAATATTTTTCTTTTTGGGGGGGGTGCTTGGCATTGAACCCAGGTCATCATGCATGCTAGGGAAAGTGCTCTACCACTGAGCTGCATCCCCAGTCCAGTATTTGTCTTTTATAAAAATGTTGAGAGTATTTTCTCATTTTAAAATGTTTTTAAAGAGCTTGATTTTCAGTGGCTAAATAATATTCCATTTTATGGCAGTATGATGATTCATTTAAATTCAGCCCATTTTGTTTATTGTTTTCTCTATTCTAATAATTATTGCTATAGTGTATATATTTGAAGGTGAACTTTTGTACAGATCTCTGATTCATAGCAAGAGAATGACTGAAGAAGTTATATTTCTGAAAAGTTTTGACTTTTTTTTTTTTTTAAAGTTAAGCTGGGCATCATGGCACATGTCTGTAATTCTGGTGACTCAGGAGGCAAAGGCAGGAGGATGACAAGTTTGAGGCTAGCCTTAGCAACTTAGCAAGGCCCTAAGAAACTTAGCAAGACCCTGTCTCAAAATAAAAAAATTGAAAAAGGCTGGGAATGTGGGTCAGTGGTTAAGTTCCCTTAGGTTCAATCCCCTAGTACCAATAATAATAATAATGATAATAATAATAATAATAATAATAAAGAAGAAGATTAAGCTATTAAGGATAGAAAGAGTCAACAAAATAAAACTAAAAGCAAATAAACAGACCTACTTAACTCTTTCTCCAAATGAATAACATGACCATGCTGCAGGGGAAGAGCAGGCAGAAAGAACGAGTCCAAGTCATTTGTAAACAGTATCTGACTATATGTTCTTAGTTTGGGAGGGTGGAATGGGAGCAGAGGAACCACAGAACTTCTGAGCTCATATTATAGAGTGACATGGGGGAAGTATTTTAAAAGTATGATAGGCTCAAGCAGATAAATAAATGTCTTGATGTTTTTGGGAGTCAGAATTTTCACTGTGGAAGAATCATACAAATATAGAATGGGAGATGGGAAGAACGAATCCTATAGGTGGATGAAGACTGTCATACCAGTGAATATGTCTGTGTGCGTCTGTGCGTGTGTATGTGTATGTTTGTGTATATACATGTGTATATTTTCTAGCTCTGTCCACACAAAGGGCCTTGGACCAAAGAGACCCCAGAATCAGTGAACACACCTGGTGTTCAGATCTTGGACACTAAGAGTTAATATCATGGTTTTAAGCACATTATATTTCTTAATTTCCCATTAAAGAGTCAAGACCTTTCAGAGAAAAAGCTGATTCTGGGTTTGGGCACATGGCTACAAGATGAGTTTGGACCATTACAAGAGTAATGCCAGAAAATATGTTAAGCGTTCAAAAATGATGAAGGTGTGTTACAGGGACACAGGAGGTACTGGCCAATTCTGAGACAGTGTAAACACCAAAGTAAGAAAAAAATTTAGCTTTCCTCTACCTAGAGAAGTTTCTGTGCTGGGTGTTGAGGATGCCTGGTTAAATAGGATCTCTTCCCTCAAGGAGTTTATAATCTAGTAGTTGAGACAGCTAAAGAGGGAGCTGTTTATTCAGTTGATAGGGGTGAAATGGAGAGAAAAATAATTTTTCCATTTGGAAATGAATTCTGTACTGACAGTCTTCTGCTGTTCCCTTGCTCTTTATTGCTCTAAACCATGTTATATGTTGGTGCCACCCCTGTGTGTACCTTCCTCTCCCTCCTATTTTGGGACTAATCTGCTTTGTACTTTGAACAGTACAGACAGAATAATGGCTCCCGAAGATGTCCATGCTCCAATTGCCCTGGAGACTGTGAATATGTTACTTCACCAAGCAAAAGGGACTTTGCAGAAATGTTTCAAGTTAAAGGCCTTGAGGTGGGGGATTATCTGGATAGTAGGCAGGCTCTTTGTAATCCCAGGTCTTGCTAAGGGCATGTGGTCACAGAAAGACCAAATGATGCCATGTGAGATGCTCTGTCTTGGTGTGAGGCAGAGGAAGGGGTCTTGAGTCAAGGAATGCAGCTGCCCTCTTAGGAGCTGGGAGTTTCTCCCCTGGAGCCTCCAGAGAGGAGTTCAGCCCTATAGACCCTTGATTTTGACCCACTGAGCCCTGTCAGAATCCATAATTTACTTTAGTAAAAGTATAGATCTGTAAAATGATAGACTTGTGTTCTTCTAAGCTACTCAATTTATGATAATTTCTTAGCGCAGCAACCTAACACTAAAACAAGTATTGCACATATGGTTGGGATCCAGAAATACTTGTTGAGCTGGGTGTGGTGGCCCACACTTGTAATCCCAATGGCTCAGGGAGATTGAGGCAGGAGGACCAACCTCAGCAAAAGTGAGGTGCTAAGCAACTCAGTGAGACTCTGTCTCTAAATAAAATACAAAATAGGGCTGGGACTGTAACTCAGTGGTCGAGTGCCCCTGAGTTCAATCCCCAGTACCAGAAAAAAAAACCCCAAACTGAAATACTGTTGGATTGATAGACTACCCCACCATATTATTTTGTTTCTTTTTTTTTTTTTTTAAATAAACATAAGATTATTTAATCAAAGTTTTATTTCATCTTTTATTTAAAGGTATTTATGTCAGGCATAAAATACATGATAAGCTATTAAAATAGAGGAAAATTTATTTGTTCAAATTCACAAGAAAGGAAACTTACAGGAATTCATCTTCCTTTCTTTAGGACCTGTTATGGAATTTGATTATGTAATATGTGAAGAATGTGGGAAAGAATTTATGGATTCTTATCTTATGAAACACTTTGATTTGGCAACTTGTGATAACTGCAGGTACTTTTTCATGTTCTTAATTGCTAAATAATTTCACGTCTATGTATAGGTTTAGGGAAAAATAATGGTTATATGTTTGGATTTGATATTTTTCTTAGAAATTATGATTTTTATTTTGGGGGCCCTAAAATTTCTATGATTTCCATTTTGCCAAAGAAATACAGGAAGTCTGTGTTGATCAAAGCTTATGATGTGAACCTAGTTGTGTCATGGAAATTTCCTTTCTGTTGTCCTGGTCCCCGCTTCCCTATCTCTTACTAGCGGGTTCCGAACCCTTGTCTTCACCCAGCCCCAAGCATCCTTGTTTCTTACTTATTTCTTACTTAGCCCAGTGTGTAGTTACCTTGGTCGGAGGGCTGTGAGAGGAGGGTGGCTCAGAAAACCTCTTTTTATTCATCTTTTGCTCCTCTCATGAAGAGAACAGACAAGGGAGAATCACATTCCTCAGTCGTTCTTTTTCTTCTCCTAGCCTCCATCCTCTTTTCACAGTACCCCATGCTTCTTTTGTTTTTTTTTTTTTTTTTTTGGTGGTGCTGGGGATTGAACCCAGGGCCTTGTGCATGCAGGGCAAGCACTCTACCAACTGAGCTATATCCCCAGCTACCCCATGCTTCTTATGCCACAAGTTCTTCCTGTCTTTACTTAGCTGCTCCCATGTTGAAGGCTCTCACACATGGAAAGTCCTGTCGTGAACTCTCTGGCTCTTACCTTTCCCTGATCCAGCTTTGTACCTATAGCCCTAGATCATCTCCCAGCTAGAGGACCCGCCCTGGGCGGGTCCCCGCTACAGACATTGGAGCCCCCATGGCTGACTTGTTGCTGAGTGGAATCCTCAGTGCATGGAGGGTGGGAGATGATGGCCTTGGCTTGTGGTACATACGTAGCTGGTCATGTTCTGTCTGGCATTCCAGATGGGACCATCAATTATAAACCCATTTCCTGCTGACCCAGTGGTGAAGGTCTAGTATTATCATCACTTTACTTAAAAGCCACTGTAGCTTTGGGGAACTGAAGTACCACATGTAGTTTTGTTTCCATGAGAAAACAGAAGCAACTGTTGTATCAATTTAAAGAATTGTGTCTGATATTTGGATGCTAATTCAAAATAAGCAGGGGTAGGGAAGAATAGAAGTACTTTAGATTAGACAAAAGGAAATGAAGAGAAGGGAGGAGGAATGGGAATAGGAAGATAGTAGAATGAATCAGACATGTTCATTTATGAATACTATGTTCATATATGAATACACGACCAATGTAATTCCACAATATGTACAACCAGAAGAATGGGAAGTTGTACTCCATATATGTATGTCAAAATACATTCTGCAGTCATATATATATAACTAAAAAGAACAACAAAAATAATACCTGATTACATTTCAAGTCACAATGTTTTGATATTTTCAATTTGAGTAGTTTTTCAGTCTTACTGTGCTTTCTATTCTGTTATTCAATAGAAAATGTAGCTATCTATAGGGAATGATTAACAACATTTATTTTAGAGTTAATATCATGGCTTTATGCACATTATATTTCTTTGAAACTCTCTTTCAATGATTATATTAGTATTGATATATGTAAATCAATAAATTCAGCAATCTTTGTGTATATGTGTATGTATGTATGTATATGTGTGTGTGTGTGTGTGTGTGTGTGTATATATATATATACACACACACACACACACACACACATATACATACATACATAAGAGAACTGTGTAGTAGTCTGAAAAGAATATTCTTTTGTTTAACATAAAGTTCTGTTTCCTTTCAACATCTATAAAGATTATGGTTTTGTACGGAGGAGTCTATGTATCCTCTCCCTCTGTTTATAAAGTATTTAGCTTTCTTTTTTTTTTTTTATTGGTTGTTCAAAACATTACAAAGCTCATGGTATATCATCTTTCATACATTTGACTCAATTGGGTTATGAACTCCCATTTTTACCCCAAATACAAATTGCAGAATCACATCGGTTACACACTCACATTTTTACATAATGGCATATTAGTGACTGTTGTATTCTGCTAGTATTTAGCTTTCTTAAAGTTATTCCCAATTCTACATTGGTTTTCTGATAGAATCCTTTGCTAGAACCTTAGGTCTCTCTCCTCCCTGACCTCTATCTGCTCTTTTCGGTAAAGGCCAGCTTCATTCGTTGGCGTGTCTCTACTGTCCTGTTTAATTCCAAATCCTTTTGGCTGTATCTTCAGACCATATCCTGAATCCATCACTTCTCACCTCTGTCACTGCTGCCTTCGTCTAGGCCACTGTCAGTGCTTGCGTGGACTCTGCAGTGGTCTTTTGATTGGTCTCTTCCCAGCCTCCCAACTTTTGCACCCTTAGAAAATAGCTTTGTCTTTGGTACTGCTTGCAAGGCCCCTGTGTGTCTGGCTTTACCTCTTACCACTCCTCACAGTCAATCACTTTCAGCGTGTGGTTACAGGTGTCTGTTCCTGTGAGCTCCTGGTGCAGAGTACCCTCCTGCCTGAGACTCTGCTCTCATGCTACTGTCTGCTAGAAAGGTTTTCTCTGGTTGTTGAATTCATCAGGGCTCTGCTGGTATCCCATCATCAGTGCCTCTGATTACTCTCCTACCTGAACATTGCTGTTCCTTCACCGTGATCTGTATTCATACAGCACTTTCACCTGTCATTATATTTGTCGATTGTCTTCTAACTAGAATGGAAGCCTCATTAAAACAAGTCTTTATTTCTCATTAAAACATGGCTGTATTATTTGAACATGTACCAGGCATGTAGATGTACCAGGCATGTAGATGGAGAACAAATGAATGAGAAGAACTGTGTAATTGCCTCTGTCTCCATTTTTGCCTTGCTTTTGAGAATGCTCAGAGCCAGCTGGAAATTCAGCTATATTGAGGGCAATGGACCTAGCATTTTATATTTTCTTTTAAAATATATATGTATGTTTTTAGTTGTAGATGGATACAATACCTTTATTTTATTTATTTATCTTTATGTGGTGCTGAGGATCAAACCCAAGGCCTCCCACATGCTAGGCAAGCACTCTACCACTGAGCTACACTCCCAGCCTTATATTTTCTTATTTCTTACCCATCTTGGCCTTTTTTAGTTTAGATTTTCTTTCTCATTGAGTCTTGTTCTCATTTACATTTTCTCTAACAAGTCATTTCAAGGCCTATCTGGAATAAGAGGGATTTTAAAGAAATTCTTAAATTGTTAAATTACATGGATCTGCTGCTAATATAATATCTTAGAACAAGTAACAGATAAAGTACTTTTCTGATAGAATTTTTAAGCTGCTAATTTGAACGTGGGGGGTTTCAGGCAGGAACAAGTGTTTTATACTTTTTTTGGTGTGCATACCCCTTGGTTGCTGGGCATTTGAAAACTTAATTTATTTAAAATAACTAATTTATATAATAGAGTTTAATCTGTTTTCAGAGATGCTGATGAGAAACACAAGCTTATTACCAAAACAGAAGCAAAACAAGAATACCTCCTGAAGGACTGTGATTTAGAAAAAAGAGAACCAGCTCTTAAATTTATTGTGAAGAAGAATCCTCATCATTCACAATGGGGTGATATGAAACTCTACTTAAAATTACAGGTCTCTAATGAATTATATTTGTGAATTTTCAATACTGATTTAGGTGAAGTTTTGACAATAAACTAGTTGTAATTAATTCCATTCTTGCTTACAGAGAGTGAAAAGGATTTCTTGTTTTGCACATTGTCATAAACATGTAATAACATTTAATAACAATGTTTTCTTACTTTGCTTTTTGCTGTTGCACTTTGGAACAAATACGTTGTTGGTGGGTGATGTTAGGAGTATGATTCTAAAACTAAAAAAATTTAAAAGGGGTCACACTTCATTCCCATATCCCCAGAAACACCCTACTGGGCCTAAATTCTGACTTGTACTTGGGGATACCATCTGGAGTGCTGCCAAGCTTCCATGTGCCTCCAGTATATCTAAAAAAAAGTCGGCTTGCCTCTTCTGCCACAGGCAGGTTTCAGGCTGATGGAGTTATCTACTTCGTGGCTGAAGCTGCTGGCACTTAGGCCAGTTACCTAGAGTCACAGCAGCCTCCTGTATCTGCTTCAGAATGCTTGAATAATATTCTCTTTGTACCATTATATGAAAATACTGGGAGGCATTGCTTCAGAGCACAGTTTGAATTGGAATAAAGTATAAATTCCCCTATCTTTAAATAAAATTTAAAAACCACATTGTGAAACAAAACAGACTGAATTTCATTGTACTTACACAATTAGGAGAGTCACCATGTATTTTTTAAAATAATACCATTAAAAATGAAAAAAAATGTGGGTAATTAAACTGAGTCTGGTATTCTTATCACTTGGTACTTTTAGTTTTTAGTTATTGAAATAGTACCATTAGACTTTATTACAGTTTTCTTGTCATATATCATGTTTGTGTATATGTAAAAAGGAAAATGTAAGTACAAACGATTTATATAGCCATTCCTAACCGTTGGGCATGAAGGTGTACACCTTCAATCCCAGTCACTCTGAGATAGGAGGATCACAAGTTCAAAGCCAGTCTCAGCAACTTAGTGAGGCCCTAAGCAACCTAGTGAAAACTTGTTTCAAAATAAAAACTAAAAAGGGCTGGGGATGTGGCTCAGTGGTTAAGCACCCCTGGGTTTGATCCCCACCACCACCACCAAAAGAAAGATATTCTTCTTTACATTTAGAGTACAGTTCTTCTGATCCACTTTTTTTTTTTTGGTGGGGGATACTGGGGATTGAACTCAGGGCACTCAACCACTGAGCCATATCCCCAGCCCTTTAATGTATTTTATTTAGAGACAGGGTCTCACCAAGTTGCTTAGCTTTTGCTGAGGCTGGCCTTGAACTCCTGCCTCAGCTTCCCACTGCTAGGATTATAGGCACGTGCCACTGTGCCTGGCTTTATCTACTTTTTATTTTTTAGTTGTCAATGGACCTTTATTTTTATTTATTGATATGCAGTGTTGAGAATAGAACCTAGTGCCTCACACATGCTAGGCAAGTGCTCTGCCACTGAGCCACAACCCCAGCCCCAATCTGATCCACTTTTTGATTCATTGTTGTTAAAGTCCATTACATACACTGGTGATGTAGCATTTACAGAGATGTTAAAATGTGGAAAATGTGATGTCTTAGCATTTATGAAATAGAAATATATCACTTACAAGGTTAAGAAATTTTGGATTTGGCTACATTAATTGATATTACCCATAATATATCATGAGAAGTATCCTGAGCATAATTCTTACTATGTGGGACTATTCTTCAAAAAAATGTAACAGAATCTGGGTGCAGTGATGCTTGCCTATAATCCCAGCTGTTCGGGAGGCTGAGGCAGGAGGATCACGAGCCAGCCTTAGCAAAAGTGAGGGGCTAAGGAACTCAGTGAGACCCTGTCACTAAATAAAATACAAAATAGGGTTGAGATGTGGCCCAGTGGTTGAGTGCCCCTGAGTTCAGTCCCTGGTACCAATATATAATCCCATGTTTTAAAACTAGAATGAAGACTTTTTAGGTCAAATAGGTACCAAATTTTTTTTTTTTTTTAATTCATATTCTGCAGATGAGAAGTTAGTCAAGTGGATGGAAACCAGTATTGAGCCAGGAGGAGATGGATAGTAGTAACTGGTGATTTCCTTTGGTTGGATTTTTGGAGATGACCTCAGATTTAGGTCTGAAATGGCTAATGTGTCAACAGACTTCTTTGGTGAGCTTGCTGAGATTCATCAAACCCACTGACCACATGTCCTTCTGAGGACAGCTATTCTCTCTATAATCTAATTCATGATACATCTGTTAAGGGTTTCTAGGGTTAGAGAGATATGTTATTAGGGTTGTTTCTTATTGGTAATAGTTAATGTCATTTAAATTTCAAAAAACATTTGTACTTGATTTAGATCATTTTTTGGTATCTATGGATTTGATAATTATAATGCATAATATCCTGCAACTCTCAATCACATCTAACTTACAGATGACTGTATTATAGATTGTGAAGAGGTCCCTTGAAGTTTGGGGTAGTCAGGAAGCACTAGAAGAAGCAAAGGAAGTGAGACAAGAAAACAGAGAAAAAATGAAACAAAAGAAGTTTGATAAAAAAGTAAAAGGTAAGTAGCTACATTTTATATCATGAAGGATTGTTTTACTACTTTAGCTGGATTCTTTCTTGTTAAAGATATGTCACCAATAGATTGGAAAGTGTTTTTTTAGAGGTTGAAAAAAAAGACTTGGAAGTTTGTCCTCAGTACATTGTTGTTTGAGGTTCTCAGTTTAAACCTCAAAGAACTGCATTTCCAAAAAGCATATAAGCCATCATTTTAAGATGAATCATATTTTATGTAGGAATGGTGTTAGGATTGAGAATGGTATCCTGGTCAAGAATTTGGTGTCAGTTAAATCTTAAATATGATCAACAGTATTAAAAAACAAACGCTCACCAACAGACCTCTCTGATTGTTTAAAGTGAAAAAATTGTGCCCCAAGTCTTAGTCATCGCAGTTAAAAGGAATTTTCTGATGTCAGCTAATCTAACCATTTTTATTTTATATATGACTAAAAGACCCAGAAAGGTGAAATGGCTTGTTAAATGAGGCTCGAGGATCACAACAAGTTCAAAGCCAGCCTCAGCAAAAGTGAGGTGCTAAGCAACTCAGTGAGACCCTGTCTCTAAATAAAATACAGAATAGGGCTGGGGATGAGGCTCAGTGGTCAAGTGCCCCTGAGTTCAATCCCCGATACCCATAAATAAACACACACACACAAATGTTCTTCATGCAGGTGTTTAAAGTGTGTCTGGGGCAGAGGCTGTGGGTTCAATCCTCAGCACCACATAAAAATAAATAAATAAAATAAAGGTATTGTGTCCAACTACAACTAAAAAGTAAATATTAAAAAAATAAAATAAAGTGGATGGCAGAATGGAGAGAAATAAAATCAGGTTAGAAAGGTTCTTTAGTTGAAATCAGAACCTGAGTCCTCTTGGTCTTCTGTTTTGATCAATAAAGCAGCTGGCACAAAATTTCTTTTTAGGAACATAAGAGATTATATTTATCTGCTTTTAGAGTATGATCTTAGACATTAGCAGTTTGAGAATTCAGCTAGTTATAGGAAAAAAAAGTAAAAATAATATAATGTGTAGAGAAAGATAAGGTTTATTACAGAACTCTTAGATCCAAGAAGGCAGAAGTGGAAATGGTGGCATCATTGTTGCTTAGCTTAACTGGATTTCAAAAAATGTAGTATGTGAGACTAAGGTTGTGGCTCAGTGGTAGAGCACTTGCCTGGCATGTGTGAGACACTGAGTTCGATCCTCAGCACTGCATATAAATAAATAAATATCCATCAACAACTAATAAAATATTTTTTAAAATGCAGTATGTGTTGGCCTTCATACTGGATGAAAGTTGGAGTTGGTGTAACATTTTGTCTGCAGGCCTCTTTTCCGGCAGTAAGGTAGAGGTGAGGCTTTCAAGTTATACTCAGCCTCTTCTTAGTACTGGTAGAGATTCACCACTAAAAGAAAGGAAATGAACTAGTCTTCATTGTTACTATGCATTTCCCCCCAAGAGGTGGGTGAGAAAATTCCATTTTGAGGCCCCTGTTATAGATGCTGTACATGTGGGGCTTATGGTTATATTCATATGACTATTGGGGTTTATCTCAGAGGAGCTTGAGAGACACAGTGCCCTATACTCAATGATTTTAGTTGACAGAAGATAAAATAAGGTCAAAGCTACATATGTTGTCATCTTTTCTTGTGATAACTTCCTTCCAGGTAACAAGAGGCACCCTAACTCAGTACTTCCTGCCCTCCATCCACTATTAGAAGTATCTGTGTCTCTCAACTAATTCTTAGTTTGCTTCATAAGCAGTATCAGGTTTCTTTGTATACAGATGGCCTCTTTGCAAAATTAAGATATCTAAAACTAGAAAGTGTTAGGGTAGTATTATATTTTTCATTGAAACAAGGATTAGGGGGAAATCTTTGGAGATAATGTAAGCAATTACTCAGGGTATCAGTAGCAAGACTGGTTGACTTGGACATTTTTACCCATTTCCAGGAGAGGTAGCAGCTCTCTCTGTTGTGAAGCTCTGGGCCAAGAGTACTAGGGGCCGTCACAGTGTCAGCCTGTTTTGTTCTCTGGCTTCACTTTGGCTTTCAGGCTGTGCAGGGTGTCGCTCTGCCTTGGTTCCCAATGCTCCACCAAGGTTTGTTATTCTCACTTTTCTACCTTCTTCTAGTCTCAGCTATGGATAGTTTTGTTTTTCTAAGTTGAAGTATTGAAGAAAACTTACAATCTAAAAAATTTTCATTTACCAAGTGTTGACATTTTGCCAGGTTTACTCTCACATGTACTCATTTTGCAGAACGGTTTGTTAATTGCAGACATTGTGATTCTTATAAATCCTTTAGCATGTTTCTCCTAAAAATAATGTTTTTTCTCCCGAACTAAAAATAATCACAAACTCAAGAAATGTAATGCTAATGTGAGGCTGTATCTAGTATATAATACTCATTCAATGATCCTGAGCTGTTTCAAAATTTAACTTTTTGGCTGTTGGATCCAGGGGCCATTCAGGGATGATGCCTTCTTTGGATAGGATTGGATTTGAATGGATTCTTTTGATGTAGTCCCTCAGTCTTTTTATCTTTCATACCCGGACACTTGTAAAGTGTCAGGCCAGCTCTGGTCCACCACATACCTTCACCTAGATTGCAATTTCCTTGATGTGATTCAGGTGGAGTGGATCTGGCAGGAGCACTCCTGGTCACCTCAGTGTACACATGCTGCCAGTTCTCTTTGAAGGGATTTGACTGTACAGTTAAGGCATTCTGCTAGATTCCACTGTCAGGAACCCGTGACCTGTGTCACTGAATATAAGAAATGTGACACTGAATTTCATTCCTGCTTTACTCAATGTTTAGTATACAGGGATGAGTCTTGCCTGAGGCAGTTATTACTGATGTAGATATAAATGGCAATTTTGTTTCTTTCATTCCCTCTACAATTATTTGGCCTCTTTTTTGGGGAAAAAAAATCATATCTCTAAGGTCATTTTATTTTTAAAATTCTTTTTGCAGTATTAGATTGGACCCAGGGGTAGTCTATCACTGAGTGATATCCCCAGCCACTTTTGTTTTTGAGACAAGATCTCAACTAAATTTCTAAGGTTGGTCCTGAACTTGCAGTCCTAATGACTCAGCTTCTGGGGTTTCTGGGATTACAGGCCTGTACCCCACACCAAGCTCCTCAGGCTGTTTTAAAAACATTAAAAAAAAAAAAAGGTCATGTTTTTCCTTGGGATACTAGGAAGTATTCTACCACTGAGCTACCTCCCCATCACACTCCCCTCTCCCTTTAAAACATGTTGGAGTGCCTCATGGGTTCTTATTCTCAAATCAGTGTATTGTACTTAGTCACATCATTATTCATTTGATACTCAAACTGTCCCAAATTTGGCCAGTCGGAGTCCTCTTCAAGGTGGCACCTGTCTTTTTAAACTTTTAATTTAGAAATAATTCCAAACTCGCAGAAAGTTGCTAGGGAAATAGAACAAAAGACCACCTTACCCAGCTGATCTGTTAATACTGTGTGCCATTCAGTCGTCATTTGCATGCCCACTCTATATGCAAACAAATATTTATTCTTCTGAACTATTTAATAAATTATATACATCACCACTTTTGACCCTTAAGTACTCGTATTTCCTAACATAAGTATTCTCTTAACATCACCATGTAACATCATTAACTTGACTAGACTCAGCATTGAGTTAGTATTTATCTAAACTGCCATCTACATTCTAGTCTTTTTCACTGGCTCTACTTTAGAACAGGATCCATTCTAAGATCAGATACTGGTTTTGGCTACCAAGTCTTTTCTAAACCTGTTCTGGATTTTCACAGCCTTGTCTTTTATGTTATCGACACTTCCTAAGTCAGAAGTCTCTTCCCTTCTCCTGCCATGGCTTTTTAGTGTTTCTCACTTGGGATTTTGTCATTTCTTGCTGGTTGGACGGACCCAAAATATGTAAACATTTTAGATGAGTGATAATATGAAAGTGATGTGCCTTTCTCAGGGCCTCATGCCTGGAGACACAATGTGTCTGGTTAAGAATGTGGACCCCACATTAGGCCGTAATTTGCCAGCAACTGGCTGTTTGGCCTTGGGCAATTTATAATTTCTCTCTGCCTTGTTTTTCTCATCTATACAAGGTTTTGAGGATTAAATGCATTAAAAGTACTTAGAACAGTGCCTGGCATATAGCCCACATATTAAGGCAGATATTACAAAGATTCAAGAAGTATTTTGGTACTACTTACCACAGATCTATAATGGATTAAAGAAAAGGCGAATAATTGGTGGATATTTTTTATGGCTGAAATTATAAAATACAGCTCCCATACTCTTAGATAAGTAGTACCACCGTCCAAGACGGTGATGAGCTCTGGTTGGATCACTGATGAGAACAGAAATGTAAACAAGTATAGCGTTGCTTTTTATTCATTATATTAGAAATAGAAGCTACCACTTAAACATTTGAAGTGGAGTACTAAATGTCTTCAGGTAATATGCAATGTGAACTTCTAAAAAAGTGATAGCCTTAAGTTGCTTTTCAAAGCATCTGCCCCCACTCATTTGGTAAAATGACTTAAACATAATGTATGATGTGGCACAAAGACAGTACTGGAATAAGACAACCTGGGTTCACATATATCTTTGCTCTGTTTTCCCACCTGCAAAATAAAACAAAGTTAAAAAAAAAAAAAAAAAAAGTTTTTTCCCCTGCTATTTATACTCTGTGATTCTGATTTTTAGGTTGTACTTTGTGGTAGTTATTGGCAGCTCTTCCCCCCAAACTAATGCTGCCACTTTGTAAAATAAAGAACTTTTAATAAACGTGATCAATTGCATGACCAATTTTTCTAAGATGAAAACACATGAATTTTACTGGTAGTTCCTGGCTTTCTAGTTTTCTTGCAAAAACTTGCCTTGCCTCTTAGAGGCAGTGTTCCTGACTTGTAAATTTGGATTAAAAGACATTCCCCTTTCCTGCTGTGGCATGGAAAAAGTCAGATGTCAACACTATCTCCTGTCACTTCTGTTTCTCTTTTGCTATAATTCTAACCACATACCTGTTTCTTTTCTTTTTTGGGGTGATGGTGGGGGGGGGTGTTCCAGGGATTGAACTCGGGGGACACTTGATCACTGAGCCACATCTCCAGCCCTATTTTATATTTTATTTAGAAACACACTGAGTTGCTTAGTGCCTTGCTTTTGCTGAGGCTGGCTTTGAATTTGAGATCCTCCTGCCTCAGCCCTCCGAGCCACTGGGATTACAGATATGTGCCACTGCGCCTAGTCCCACATACCTGTTCTGTTTCTCAATCTCTCATGTCATACTACTCCAACAACTGACTTCACAAGCCAAGCAGGGAGGTAAGAAAGCTTGCCAAGTTTGTGAAATCAACTTTGATGTGCCATAAATTTAAACTATATGGTTTAAATACACAGACATGGCTGAAAGTCTGATTGGATTTATTTTTGGGTTCAGCTGACAAACTTTGTGTTTTTTTTTTAAAGAATTGCGCCGGGCAGTAAGAAGCAGTGTATGGAAAAGAGAATTGACTGCTCATCAACATGAGTATGGACCAGAAGAAAACTTAGAAGATGACATGTACCGCAAGACTTGTACTGTGTGTGGCCATGAACTGACATATGAAAAAATGTGATTTTTTTAGTTTCACTTGACATTTTTTAACAGAAATTTATATTTAAAGGAAATTAGATTGGCTTTATTCAGAATTCACTACAATGTAGTCCTCATAAATGACACACTTGCATAAATGCTTCCATAATAATAATTGTATGACTTAAGAGAAAGTTACAGTCCAGCTGGTCTGGTCCAGGGCAGCATATCAGATCTGTAGGAGGTGAATGGTAGAGTGGGTTTAAAGCAGCAGGTCAGAGCTGCAAATGGGGGAGCAAGAGGATAAAGCAAACCCTCCAATGGTGCAGAAAGAAGAGCTTTCAATAAAGGCCAAAGTTGACTGAATTGGACTCAATCAGGGATGGTGGTACACTGTTGTAAGAGTCTGTCAGGACTTTAAGGACTACTTCTATCTCTAGGACAGTGAGGCAGTCCTGAGGAGTCAATGCTGCAAGAATAAACAAATTGCAGGATTCTGGTCATGTTTTCACTAAGGGCTTACTACTGCAGACCTTCGTGTAAGTGTTCAAACAGACAGCTCTTCTCAAATGCTGAATTAAAATGGAAAGCAGCTTCTTTGAAGGTTGAATATCTGACTGTTGATCAAAGATATTAGTTTACCTAAGTACTGCTGAGTGCCTTATAGATATTCTGATTTTGATCCTGGGAGGGAAGGCAACTTGCTTCTTATAGCACTTCTTATTTAGCTTCCATGCTTCTAAGGGAGGAGATCACAGCCTATGACCTCACTTTACCCCAAGCATTTGGATTAAGTTTAGCTAATTGGAATTTCCTTTAATCTTGTTCAAAGATCATCAAATAGTTTGACTATAGGATCTATGCATAATTATAGACAAAAATTCAAGTTGAGATAAACTGGATATTTTTCAAATTATTTGACATGATTTTTATCCTGTCACTATAAACAGGGTTCATGCATTCCTTCTTCTCCTTAGATTTGCTTGGAGAAAGACCAAAGTCAAAACAACTCAAACCCAAGTAATTAGGTGCTTGAGGCTATAATTACTAATTGTTCTCTACGTAATAAAAACAGGAATGTTCAGTGTATTTCTCAAGTATTGACTTTTCATATGTGCTATACTAAATATTATAGCTCAGTAAAAATGACTCAATGGGCAGCCAGATTTCTGTGATTGGATAAAACCTTCTCCTTTGACAAGAGAGTAACTAGCTGTTCAGGCGGCTGCTAAGAGCATTACTGCATTGTGGGGGATAAAGCTCTTGGGGCCAGATGAAGCCAAGTACAAATTCCACTTCCTAGCTGTGGACACCTTGGGCAAATTTCTCCATAGGCCTATTTTTATCTGTGAAGGGAGGTATAATCATCTTTCAGAGCACTGCTGTGAGGATTAATCTAACAACTGGCACATAACCGCCACTAGTTAATAAGCACTAATCTAGGCCAATACACAGAGAGATTTGTCTAGCTGAGGTTTGCTTCTATTCATTCTTTATCAATTTAAAATAGTCCTGGTATCCAGCTATCTACATGGCAAGGCTTCATGTCATCTTTCACTTTCAGGTCTAACTATATTTTAGGAAAAACAGTGTATGTCATCAGTATATTGACAAATACATGTTAAATGGCACCAATACAATTTAACGGAATATTGATTCATTGCAAGGTAGGAGGTACAGTGACATGCCATTTTTTTGTCTGTGTAAGCTTCCTTAGTGTGGAAAGCAATTGCTGAATGTTTGCTCTTGCACCTTTATTTCTTCAAAATTCAGTTGCTAGGTTCAGTTTTTCCATATGCATAGCTGTTGGACTAGGTGAAGCAGAGTCCCATCCATGAAGGAACTATTAGAAGCAACCATTATACATGAAAAGAGGATCAAGAGAAAGGAAATGAACATGAACACCTACAAATGTCTCTAGAATGTGGACCAAGTATAGCTAGCTAACCTATGCTAGGCAATGTGGAAGTATTACAAAGCAGTTTAAGATCAAATAAAGTCATCAGAGCCTTAAACGTTATCCACTGGCTTCTTGTGAACAGAAGCCACTTGAAACTACATACTGTGTGCTGTGGTAAAGCAATGGGAAAGAAGAACAGTATACCTAAGATTTCCTTCCTTAAATAGTATGGTATTTAAAATCCTAGGAATTCCCATCTATTAAATGGACTGTTTCATAGCCACCAAAATGTATAGCAAACTAATATGACCATATATCAAAACATGGAAAATGCTCAATGCATCATACACTTAGGATGTAATAAGTTTAAAAAGTTACTATACTTTTTTTTGGTGTGCAGATGCACAAAAATATTACCAGTAACTATAGAATTATTATTGTTTTAGTGAAAAAAGACTAAAAATCCCACAACTTTGAAATGTCAGAGAATTCCTTATATACAGATACATTATTTTACAAAATGCTCTTGAGTCTCAATACCACATAGGGAAAAAAACCCTCAGGAATTAGTTATTTGAATCAAGACACATGGAGATAAAACCCAAGCTGACATCTAAATACAGTTTTAGCTAATCTGTGTCCAGTTCCACTATAGCATGTGGTTTGCTACATGATCTTGGACAAATCCCTCTCAGAGGCAACAGGCAATGACCTGATGCTCTAAGATCATCGTTCTCCAACTGGAAACAACTAGGGAGCTTTAAGATGGTGTCCAGCTTCTACCTCTGGAGATTATTTAAGTAACTTCAGATTCCTAGGTAAGTTGGTATGGACAAATTTGAGTATCACCACTTAAAATAGTAACACTTTTACATACTAATAGTATCTCAAAATACTTAAGAAAAATATTTTGAAGAGAAAATTTCAAACAGTATGAAAGTGTGCCTTCAACAGTAAATCATTAATTTAAAAAGTAAACTAAGATGGTAAATCATGAAATAACCAAGATTAAAAAACATACTTTTAGTTTTATTTCAGCCATGTCAGGTTATCCATGAGCTGTGAAAAGCTATGCTAGCTGGTAATAAACCCATCAGTTCTATTTACTACTTTATAACGAAAGGTTGACCTCTAGTGTTTCACATACCTCAAATCTGTCGTTTTGTGCCGTAAGGAGAAAACATATCAAATGATCACAGAAAAGTTGTATCTGTCACATATAATACATCATGGTCATTGTCACATTGTTATCATTAAGAAATATTTGCTTTTTAAGGGAAATTAAAGGTACTTCCATATTCCTCATTGTCCTTCTTCCCCTTTGTTTCCTTTAAGAAGTGAAGGCTATTATAAGAAACCAAGCCTTCAAACCATAAAAAATAAGACAAATTATTTTAAGATATTAAAAAAAAAAACAAAAAACCTTGACACGAGGGGAAAAAAAATATGACCCTTAGGCCTGCAGAGCACAGAACTGCTGGAACACAGCCAGGATATGAGGGTCTAATTCAGCAGTGAAGAGAAGGTTCTCCAGGGTCACCATATATTGCTGGATTATCTGATGATGCTGTAGACACAGAACAGTGGTGTTCAGGTCAGTCATAGCAAGTAAACAATCATGGAAAACATCTACCTCAGCAGCCCACCCATGCTGTGAAATGAGAAGAGGAAGTAGGAAAAGGCAAGTAGTTCAGGCTCACGGGAATAACAGACTCTTCAAAAGCCCAGCTTTAAGAAAATGTACAGGGAGATGTGAAAAAAGGGGTGTCCAACAGCTTTTCTAAACAACGCAGTCATTACCAGCCTGTCCAAAGTGTAACTCATGATGCCACACTGTGCCAGTGGCTCTTGTGTGTGGCTATCACTAGTATAGACTGGTCAGGACATAATATTTTAGGACTTTTTAAAAAGCAGCCCAGACATTGACTAACTGAGGAAGATAAAAATTTCAGAAAACAACAACAAAAACACTCTTTTATGTGTTTCTAGGTGGACTTGAGTATACTTAGGGATTCTTACAGCTTAAAACTTTTTAAATTGGTAGTGAATAAGAAAAAAATCTAGAGGAACTCCTAATGACTTTTGCATTCATGATTTTTCTAGAACAAACAAATGAAGATTAGTGTCTGAAGTTACAAAGAATCAGCTCCACATTCTAACTTAAATCTAGCCGAGAGCAGGTGCTAACAGGTTTCTTATGTGAAGAGACCTCAGCTTACCTTGCTTCTGTGATCACTGTTTATCATCTGAACATGAGATTTTTAAGTACTTTTATAAAACCAATTACTATTTGCTTAGTTTTTATTTTTTTAATCTATTTTAGATTACATTTGAGATCCTTAGCATAGAAAATTTCAATTGGGAGTCTATGTGATAATAAGCCAATTTAAACCTAAATATTCTGATGAATAGCAGCAAATGGAATTAACTAAAGGGCCTACAGGTTACTACATAACCTCCTTAAAAATTTGGCGAGGAAACCTTTGTGGCTGAGAATATAGTATTTATCATAAACAATGTTCCTCACAAACCTGCAGAAAGATCTGCTGGAGCCTCTCTATACAGTTCTTGTACCATGGTGTCAATACACTGGTTCCGTCAGTTTCACATCGTACTAAGTGCTCAGTCAAGATCATGATAAAACGCTGGAAAGGAGGAATGAAGATGAAGTATTAGAGGGGTAATTTTATACTTCAGAAAAAAACTCATGACAGAGACTTTCAAGTATGGCCTGTTCCACCCAGTCTTTGAGCTGTGTGCTCCTAACTCTCATGATTCACTGAATATTGTAATCTAGAAAAGGAAACCAGTAATAATTTGAATTGGTGCATCCTTTTGGGCAATACATAATGATTCAATGTCTAAATTTTTCTATAATATTACTTTTGGGTCTCTATTCTGGGAAAATAATCAGAAATGTTAAGAGGACACTGTTTTGCATCCTGATGACCATTTTGTTAACAATCATTTAAATCAACAATAGGGAATAATTAAATATGAAACAGACATTTCAATACTAAGTACACAGCACAGAACTAAGAATACATGGTGGCCTCCAAATACTAACATTTTCTTTTGTATTATTAAAACTTTTCTGTAAATAAGCATGCATTCCTTTTATAATTGAAAATAAGTTTTTTTTTTTAAATGAAAGAGATGTATTGATTCCCTCTACATGTCAATGTGCCAAACCAAGTTACCTGAAATATGACGAGGAAGAGGTTCTTCTGCTCACTCTGAGCAGACTCCACTTTTTCCTGCAACCTTTCTATTTGCTCCTCAAGGGCCCCATCTTTCCTGTCACTGCTTCTGTCATCATCATCACTTCGCTGCAGAAAGCACAGGGACAAAAGGGCATTATTTACAACTCCAGTGTATTAAATCCCATTAAAGAAAGGGAAGGATTTTATTGTGTCAGGTCAAATGCTATTCAAAGACTTGTATTCTGTTGGGCACCCACCTGTAATCCCAGGTACTCTGAAGGTCAAGGCAGGAAAATCACCAAGTTTGAGGTGAGCCTCAGTAAATTTAGAAAAACTCTACCATAAAATTTAAAAAATTAGTATATTAGTATACACCTAGTGCTGTACGTTAGTGGTAGAGAACCTAGTTCAATCCCCGAAGAGGGGTATGTGTGTATGTAAGGGGAAACTTATATGTATGGTAAAAGGCCCTTACCCCCCGCCATCTCAAAAAATCTCCAGGTCCTCTTTTGGTTCAGAAACATGTTTTCACTTAAGTTTTATCGGTACTTGCTAGGCCAGCGAAATTTAGTGACACTTGTCTTGGAACAGCAGTGGGAGTGCTGACTATCAAATAATACCGCCTGACCACCTGTGTGAAGTTAACAACAGGAAGGTACCCTGTCAATCTTTCATCCCTAATGGACCACGCGGAAAAGATGGACAGGCCCTCCTGCAGCTCATAGCCCAGGTTGTTCATTCTCATCAGAAATAAGAAATAGCTTCAAGTGACATGTAGTAATTTAAAGCAGACTGTTCAAGACTCTGATGGTAATAATGGGCTCAATCTACCCCTGTACAGCTTTAATTATTTCTTCCAACTTCCTCTGAAGAGTATATAGCATTTAAATCAAAACTAAACTGAGAGTTCATCTCATACTAGCAGGAACGGCAACCATCAAGAATACAAATAATTAATGCTGGCGAGGATGGGGAGGAAAGGGAACACTTTTATACTATTGGTGGGGTTGTAAATTAGTACAACCACAATGGAAATGATTACAGAGGCCCCTCAAAACACTAGGCATGGAACTACCATATGACCCAGCTATCCACTCCTAGGTATTTATCCTGAAGAATTAGGGTCACCACACTACAGTGATACACGCATACCCACATTTACAACAGCGAAATTCACAATAGCCAAAACTATGGAAACAGTATGTGTCTATCAACAGATGAATAGATAAAGAAAATGTGGTATATATTCAAAGTAAGTTTTATTCAGTCATAAACAGAACTAAAGACCATTATGTTAAGTGAAATAAGACAAACTCAGAAAGTCAAGGAAGCGTGTTTTCTCTCATATGTGGAAGCTTGAGAGGAAAAAGGAAAAGAAGATCTCATGGAAATCAAAGAAGGTCAGTGGAAGGAATGGATCAAGGTGGGAGACAGGCAAGGTGGAGGAAGTGCCGGGAGTGATCCTGGTCAAATTGTATTGTTAAATATGTAACAATAAATCCCACCATTATGTAAAACTATAATGTACCAATAAAAATGTTGAGAAAGGGGGAAAAAAAAAGAAAAAGAAAAAGGCCTACTGACAAGTAGCTAAAGCAGCACTCTTGGAAAAGAATATACAGCATTTGCTTATTTGGCTGACAAAATAAGGCAGAATAAAAGGCAAGATTTATCTTCATTTTACTGAAGAAGGGAAAGGGTAAGAGGTTAGATGGCTGAGCTATTCTTGGCTCTCGGTATGTTACATACCAGGTTTCTTTTGGCATGAAGATGGGTGTCACGCATAGAACCTAGAAAGCCTGGTAATCCTTCTTGATACTACTCTACTGCTAAGGCCCATCTATACTTGCATCTTCCATTCTTTAAGCAAAATCATCAGAACCACTCAATGATTGTACAGAATTCTGCTTTT